CCAGCCTCATCTTTTGCGGCCACTTCACCTTTGGTCCGAGCTTTTCCCAGGCTAGGACTATTTCTGTAGGTGACACATAAAAATTGTGAGCGGATAATAAAGGGGCATACCTCTTTCGTTTCGGTGAGTCCCTGTCCTTGATCTGGGTGGGCCCTCTTCATGCCAGTGCCAGAAGCATCAGTATCAACTGTAAAGATTTTGTTGAAATCGGGCAGTGCGAGAACAAGAACAGAGCTCAAGGCATCTTTTAACAGAGTGAAAGCTCTGGTTTCTCGATCTGTCCAGCAAAAAGCATCTTTTCTAAGAAGATCAGTCATAGGAGATGCCAATTGAGCGTAATGCTTAACAAATCGACGATAATATCCGGTAAAACCCAAACATCCCCTAACATCTTTAACAGAGGCTGGGGGTGGCCACGCGGTAATGGCATGAATTTTTGCCGGGTCAACTTGTAATCCCGCTGCCGAGATTACATGTCCCAGATAGTCTATGGAATTCTGCCCAAACTTGCACTTGGAGCGCTTCACAACAAGGGAATTTTGGCGAAGGAGATCAAGGACCAATCGTAAATGAGAAAGATGATCCGACCAAGACGGGATATAGACCAAAATGTCATCGAAGAAAACTAGGACAAAACGACGAAGGAATGGTTTAAAAACAGAATTCATAGTTGCCTGGAAGGTGGATGGCGTATTTGACAGTCCAAAATGCATGACAATAAACTCATAGTGGCCCTCATGTGTGCGAAAAGCAGTCTTGGCAATATCAGAAGGATGCAACCTTATCTGATGATATCCAGCCAATAAATCAAGTTTAGAGAAAAAGCAAGCTCCATGGAGTTCATCAAAAAGCTCGTCAATGGTGGGAATTGGGAACATATCTTTGACAGTGATTGAATTCAAGGCGCGATAATCCACACAAAAATGCCATGTACCATCCTTTTTCCTCACCAAAAGAACTAGGGATAAACATGAACTAGAGCTTGGACGAATTATCCCAGCTTGAAGCATCTCATAGACTAGTCGTTCAATTTCAATCTTTTGAAAATGGGGATAGCGATAAGGACGAACCTTCACCGGAGCAGAACTTGGAATAAGAGGAATACGATGATCTTGAGGCCTAGGGGGTGGCAAGACTGTAGCCGTAGCAAAAAGGCCAGAATAAGAATCCAAAAGCTCAGTGAGATCAGACGGCAAAGCCGGAGAAGATGACTCAGCCATCGAAAGCAACTCCAAACGGAAGAATCCCGAAACGGAATGAGTTTCGGTTAAATGCCTAAGCGAGGTAAATTGGACCTCCTCAACAGATTGAACAGGATCCCCAATCCAACGGATCGTATCACCATTAGAATCAAATTTAATTAATCGTTTTGCATAATCAGTGACAGTGGGACCAAGAGTCGCCAACCATACAACACCTAACACTAAATCGGCCCCATGAAAGTCAATAATATAGAAATCAGTACTGAAGGTGAACCCTTGGATGGTAAGAGGTAGCTGACGCACAACACCGTGGTATTTCAACAAACTGCCATTGCCGATCATTACCTGAAAATTGGAGGAGCTCTCACTGGAACTTTAAGAAATTGGGCAGCTCTAGGGTGGATGAAATTATGTGTGATGCCGCCATCCAGAAAAACTTGTACGGAAAGACCCTTAACCTGAGCTGTAAGGCGGATTGCAGTAGGAATAGGACCACCTGATAAAGCAAGATAACTGATAGAAGGCAATAACGGGTTATCGGAGGTAGGCGGAGATGAAGATAGGTCAAGTGTATTATCGGAGGAAGGAGAATGTTGCTCGTCTGGTGATTCTTCACCAGTGAGAAGAAGAAGTTGGGATGTTTTTGAGAAGCAGTGACCTTTGTGGTACTTCTCATCACAATTAAAACACAGATTTAAGTCCCGTTTTCACTGGAGCTCTGATGGGGACTTCAAGGTCTGTGAACGCCGACAGATCTACCTTGAGTCTCCGGACAACGGACCAATAGCAAATCTCGATCAACCTAAGCCGGTATCAAAATCTGCACAGAAAGTGCAAAGTGCAACATCAGTACAACCGACCCCGTGTACTGGTAAGTGTCGAGCCTAACCTCGACAAAGTAGTGACGAGGCTAAGGCAAGGCACCTACGAATCAACATGTACAATTTAACAGTGTATACGCAAATAACAGGAATGAAGAACTAAACAGGAAATGTCGGGAGGGGAAACATACTGAGGGGAATACAAGATAAAGAACTACAACAGAATGATCACTGAAGCAGTCAATATACCATGAATCAACAGGAATAGTGAATACAGTAAGGAAAAATGCACGGCATCACCCTTCGTGCTTTTACTCTCAATCTCACCATAAAAT